TTGGTTCGATCGATCACCCTCTTTGCAACCTCTCTCCCACCATTTTAAACGGACCTCCCTCCCTCCCTCTCTCACTCTCTCCCTCTCTCCCTCCCACTCTCTCTGGAGCAATCAAATAAATAATTATGTTGTCGGTGGCCTCCGTCGAGACTGCTCAAAATCCAGCGGAGCCGTCTCCGCCGCTGGTTCTCCCGACGAATGAGCACGTCTTCGTGTCGAAGCTCCCGGCCATCCCCATCCCCAACGACGTCCCTCTCCACACCTACTGCTTCCAGAACGCCTCCCTCTACCCGGACCGCACCTGCCTCCTCGTCGGCTCCACCGGCCAATCCTACTCCTTCGCCCAGACCCACCTCATCTGCCGCAAGGTCGCCGCCGGCCTCTCCGCTCTCGGCGTCCGCAAGGGCGACGTCATCATGGTCCTCCTCCAAAACTCCCCCGAGTTCGTCTTCACCTTCATGGCCGCCTCCATCCTCGGCGCCGTCGTCACCACTGCAAACCCTTTCTGCACCTCAAAGGAGATCTTCAAGCAGTTCAACGCCTCCCGCTCCAAGCTCATCGTCACACACTCCCAGTACGTCGAAAAGCTCCGTCAAGGCGGGCCGGTCCTCGGGGAGGATTTCACGGTGGTGACGGTCGACGGCCCGGTGCCGGACGGGTGCCTGCATTTCTCGGCGCTTTCGGAGGCGGACGAGAGGGATCTGCCGGCGGCGGTGGAGATCCAGGCGGAGGACGCGGTGGCGCTGCCGTTCTCGTCGGGGACGACGGGGCTGCCCAAGGGGGTGGTGCTGACGCACGGGAGCCTCATCGCGAGCGTGGCTCAGCAGGTGGACGGGGAGAACCCGAACCTCCACCTAAGGCCGGACGACGTCGTCCTCTGCGTGCTGCCGCTGTTCCACATCTACTCCCTCAACTCGGTGCTCCTGTGCTCGCTCAGGGCCGGGGCCGCCGTGCTGCTCATGCACAAGTTCGAGATCGGGTCCCTTCTCCAGCTGATACAGCGCCACCGGGTGTCCGTGGCGGCGGTGGTGCCGCCGCTGGTGCTGGCGCTGGCGAAGAACCCGATGGTCGACAGTTTTGACCTCAGCTCCATACGGTTGGTGCTGTCGGGGGCGGCGCCCTTGGGGAAGGAGCTGGAGGCCGCGCTGCTCACCCGCCTGCCTCAGGCGGTTTTTGGCCAGGTACGGTCCGCGTTTACAGGTTTTGGATTTAACTAAATCAACCCAACTTGTTTGTTTTCACGTGAATTGAATGCCCCTATTAAACTCAGTCACCTATACGTAAATAAATAAAAAAAAAAAAAATTGTAATTTTGTGTCTCTAAGTAATAAAGTTTTTGTTGACGCAATGGTTCCGTCAGTATTTGTTACCGTGATTAGGTACACAACATAATCTATGTGTGTATTCAATGGTGAAAAATACTGATTGAATCATCTCGTAACGGATCTTAGCATTTTTCATAAATAAATTAAAAAGAAGTATCAATTAGTATTATTAATTTATTTTTTATTTTTTTCTTGAAATATTTAATAAAGAATCGGTGGCATTAAATTTAAAAAATTAATGTTGTGGGGGTGGGAAATTAGAGGAGGTAGGTGAAGCTTGCTGTTAGTGTTAGGTGTGTGGGTATCAAGGAAAATTGTGATCCATGAAAAATGTTACTACTATATTCTATAGTGATTTTTTATTTTATGAAAAATTATTTTATTTTATACCCACGATGCAAATCTGTATATAAATAACAAAATATTATGCTTTTCGGTGTTCATAAATAATTAATAATGGGGATATATATGAATTATGATATGTCCACCACAAATTTTTATATTCTTGCTCATTATTTGTGGAATATATAGTTTATTTATCTATTTATATTATATTTTGTTAATTAATATGCACGTGAAAATGTTATTGGTTGGCTACTACCTGTACACGTGGCCAACTAATCCTAAGTTCTGTACGTCCTTTTTAAATTTTTTTTTTTTTAATAAGCACATATATGTTGACTTTTTAGCAACTTGCCATTCTTTTGTTCTATGTAGGACGACGTCAAATATGATATATTTGTATTTTTTTAATTTCTTAATTTTTTATAAAAAAAAAAAAAACGTGCACATATATTGTGGTATAACGTGCACATATATTGTGGGCTTATTTTATGAGACTTTCCCATCTTTCGTATGCTTTGTTAGCAATAGGGCTGCAAACGAGTCGAGTCGAGCCGAGCATTGGCCTTATCGAGTAAGATTATTCTTTTTAGATACTCGAGCTCGAGAATGGGTTCGTCGAGCTCGATTTTTTATGCTCGATTCGATAAAAAATTACAGTAGCTCAAGCTCGAAATCAAAATGTTCGAGCTCGGCTCTAAAATTTGTAAGTGGAAAAGTAAAGTTACCATTAAACATCTATAATATATGCATAAGGGGTATTTTAATACTTTAACATATATTTCGAGCAGCTCGACAACGTAAAATATGAGCTCCAGTGTTCGATTCGTTTACTGCATGCGCTTGTTAGTAAGCAATTGATCCATTAACCGCTGCTCATTTCACAATTGTACAATATTGCATTGTAATAAAACTAAATACCCAAAACTTTGCTGCTGAGGAAATAAAAAAATAAAATTACAAAAGCTTTTCGATAATTAAAACAGTTGCCATAAATAGGTGGGACAAACTTTTATGGCACATTCGTGAAAATCCTCGCTCCAATCCAAATCACACCACACACTTATAGTTAGAAAATAACATAGATTGGGAATGCAAAATAACATAGATTGGGAATGCAGCAGTGTTAAAAACTATTGAGGGAGAGCTTTGCCGCCCTTGTGGTCCTACCCGACTTGATTCCGAATTAGTCGGTTCCCCTGTAGATCCGGAATCCGAAAGGTCCCTGTACCAAAAAAAGATAAAAAATAAAAAAATTAACATAGATTTCTCACGGTTACCTACAAAATAAATAGTGTATGATCCTTAAAATTCTCTTTTACTTCAATTAATTATATGAGGGGTCTATTGGAGTCCAACCTTGATAGTTGTTTGCATGAATGATTTAATAATAGGGTTATGGGATGAC